TCAATAACTGTACTCGGGAGTTTGTTCCACTCATCCACAACTCTATTACCAAACCAGTGCTTTCCTATATCCTTCCTGAATCTGAATTTTTCCAACTTGAAACTATTGCTGTGAGTCCTGCCTTGGCTGGAAATTTTCAGCATGCTATTTACATCCCCTTTATTTATTCCTGTTTTCCATTTATACATCTCAATCATATCCCCCTTAATTCTACGCCTTTCAAGAGAGTGCAGATTCAGGGCCCTCAATCTATCTTCATAGGGAAGATTTCTGATACATGGGATCATCTTTGTCATCCTCCTCTGTACGTTTTCCAGAGCATTTATATCCATTCTGTAATACGGTGACCAGAACTGAGCAGCATAGTCTAAATGAGGCCTAACCAAGGATATATAGAGTTGAAGAACAACCTGAGGACTTCTATTATTTATACTTTTAGATATGAAGCCAAGAATTCTGTTAGCTTTATTGCAAACACTAATGCACTGTTATCTTGGTTTTAGATTACCGCTAACCAGAACTCCTAAATCCTTTTCGCAATCAGTAGTATTAAGATCTACGTTATTTAGTTTATATGTGGCATGGTTATTTACCTGTCCAACATTTAGAACTTTGCATTTGTCAATATTAAACTGCATCTGCCACTTCTCTGACCATTGCATCAGTCTATTCAAATCATCCTGGAATGCTCTAGTGTCCTCATTAGAATGAATTGGACGGCCTATTTTGGTGTCATCAGCAAATTTGCTTATGTCGCTATTTATTCCCTCATCTATGTCGTTTATGTAAATTGTGAACAACAATGGGCCCAACACTGACCCCTGAGGAACACCGCTTGTGACGTGCCCCCATTCTGATTTCTCCCCATTTATGCAAACTCTCTGCTGCCTATTTATCAGCCAAGCCTCTACCCAGGAAAAAATTTCTCCTCCTATTCCGTGTGCCTTAAGTTTCCTCAATAGCCTCTGGTGTAGAATTCTATCGAAAGCCTTCTGTTAGACTGCCCTCTCTATCAACGAGCACGCAGAATTTACCTCCAACGTCGTCTCCGCTCTACTACTCTCTCTTTACCTTCCCTTCTTGCTGATGGACCCTCCTTTAATCCCGACTCTTTCATTGACTTCTTGACAACGACTGATTTACTCCACAAACTCTGATGATACCTTTTGCACTCCCCTCAGCCCTTTCTACCTCAATCTCTTGCTGCCCTCTACCCTTTCATCATCCACTGCCCCGCTGTTCTCTGTAACCTATTACTCATCTATCTCCCTTTTGCCACCTGATACCCTCGCTTCCTTCCTGCCCTGCAGCGCTGTATAGCCCTTGTGGCTTAGCGCTTCTTTTTGATTATAATAATAATAATATCGAAAGTCTTACTGAAGTCCATATACACAATATCATATTCATTGCCATGATCTACCTCCTCAAACACCTTAGTGAAAAAAGTTAGTAAATTCGTAAGACAGGAACACCCCTTTGTAAAACCGTGTTAGATTCATTAATCAATCTGTGCCTATCAAGACGGCTACAAATTTCTTCGGCAATTATTGATTCCATAAATTTTCCCACTACGGAGGTAAGGCTTATTGGTCTATAGTTCGAAGCCAAGGACCTGTCACCTGCCTTGTAAATAGGTATTACATTTTCCATTTATCAGGCACTATGCCAGTTTGTAGTGATATGTTAAAAAGATTAGCCAAAGGTATGCTAAGTTCCTCTTTACATTCCTTTAACACCCTTGCAAACAGTTCATCAGGACCTGGGGATCTGTTAGGTTTTAGTTTCTCTATTTGTCTGAGGACCATGTCACTAGTTACCGCAATCGTGCATAGTTTATTTTCATCCTGTTCTACATAATCTGTTATTTCAGGAATACCACTAGTATTTTCCTGGGTGAAAACTGAGAGGAAGTAGGTATTGAGAATTTCACACACATCCTTATCACAGATACAAAGAGCAGATTGTATACCACTTGTTCAAGTAGATATAGGCTGTAGTTTAATGCAGTGAAATATGAACAAAGATCTGAGAGTGTGGTATACCGGGCATACAAGAAGTGTGCTTTCATTAAAAGTCCCATTGGGAAAAGGATCTGATGAATGAAATAAGATATAGCCCAAGACGGGATGGATAACAGCAGAGCACAGTTTAGGTTCTTGTAAACAGGCACAAACAGGGAAAAACTGGGAAAGCAACACCTGAAGCTATAGAATGGGAAAATGGCCTGTACTTAGAACTTTGTAGGCAGGTTGCCAAGCATAAAAACAGTTAATTCTAACAAGCAATAATTGCACAAAAAATGCACAACAGTGAGGTAGTTAATTCTAACAAGGAAATAATAGCTCAAAAATTGCACAATGATGAGGTAGTTACATTGCACTAAATGTAAGAAATTGTGGTAAGGACCATAGGTTAATTAGTCTCAGTAAGGTCACATCTCTAAGGAAGCTAGATATTTCATGTTTATTTGTGATTGTATACATACAGCCTGCAGCTGTTTTCCTATGATTTTGCCATCCTGTCTGACCTTTTGTAACCCATACAATAGGTTCTGACATATTATAGCAAGGCACTTGTTGACATACACTGTACTCTCTTTTTTTTTTTTTTTTTTTTTTTTTTTTATGAAATGAGGTCTTTTTGTGTCATATGAATGTAGCATAACACTTTTTTTCAATCCTGGTTTCCTAGTAAACAGGCCCCCTTGATTTTATTAGCTGTTGTATCCATGCAATTCATTTGGTTTGTGTCACTGGTAAAAAGAGTGTTGTTGACAATAATTACATCAGATAACTTTTGCTGGTCGATTTTGCCATCATGGTTTTATAAGTAGTCATTCAACTGTGCATTCACGGTGTTTTTCCAGTTCTGGACAGCTTCTTCCACCTGGTGTTAAGTATTGTTGTTTGGTGTCATAACTTTTTGTTCAAGTTTTAGGATCTTGCTCTCTAGGTTAGCTATCTTCGGTTTGTGTTTTTCCAGTGATGCACGAAGACTAGTATCCTCAGTAGTTAATGAGTAGATGTATAATTTTAGCACTTTAGGATTGTTGATAATACCTGTGAGGTCAGCTGAGTGCTGAAGCCATGTTTGGTGTTGTTGGTGTGTAGCCTTGGGCAGTGGTGGTGAGGGGGAGGGGGTTGGACGATGCATCGGTGTCCTACAGGGCAGACATGCTGGATAATAGATTCCTAGGGGTTTTGTTCTTGTTCTTGTTGCTGTTTCTTCTGCAATTCCTTTTCATGGTATCACTGAAGTAGTTGGTGGTGGAGGTGTAGTTATGTACACGGAGCTTGGGCTGACTGTTCATTTGTCAGCAGGGCTGTGCCTGGTTTTACAGGGCAGTCTTCCTTTGGTTATCTATTTTGTCAGGTTGTAGGTACCCACAGCCAGTTTTGAGGTCATGATGGGTTCCACATGTGTTAGTGCAGTTGTACTTGTAGATAGGCCATCACAGGAGCTCTGATTGACCCAGGGGATTGAAAAAATTATGGAGCTTCGCTGCTGCTGTTGCCATAAATGTCATAAAAACATGGGAGATGTCAGTTGTAGAGTGAAAAACTTAATCCATTATGTCCATTAATGGTTGTGGTTGTTCAGGGGTAGACTGAAGGTGGTCCATCCTGAGATGGGTGGGTGATCTGAAAATCGTCGCACTGTAGTGAGAGAAACTGGAAGCATGGTCAAATACGTGTGGAGGCCAGATGTATCAGAAGTCATGTGGAACCACAGTACCATAGGGAGGCAACAGAATGTTACCTGTAGAAGGTACTGGGTTGTGAAAGAGGTCCGAAGAATGGTCTAATAACAAGGCAGAGTTGTAAGAGAGTGCTGCAGGAAAAAAAAAGAGGAGGTCTGGGAGGAGGAATTTCATGGGCATGGGGCTCCATGGTAAAGTTTCTCAATTTTTTTCCAAAAAGAAAAGGGGGGAGATACATGGAAGGGTAGCTCCTAGGAGAAATGAAAGGAATTGTATATCCCCTTTGCATCCAAGAGAGCCGTGAGTGCAGCCGGTAGTGCAGATGTGGTGCAGAATCCATGCCCTACCCTACCCTTCATGCTGGTAAACCAGTGATCCAGGATAGCAACCTCACATCCATCGATCCACCTTGGTGGTCGGAAGCCCGCCACAAGGCATACCTCCTTCAGCCACCACCTTTCAGAACCATCAGGTAGCCTCCAGAAATACACCCATCACCTGAAGGACACCCTAAGACAACCCTCCCCCCTGGAGACTCCGGAGGGGCTTCGGGACATCCCTAGATGATCCAGATTCCATGGCAGACAATACCACCACCAAGGATCTCAATGGAATGGGATGGACAACAACACCCTTTCCCCATCCTAGAAGTTACAATTACAGAGGGAGGACCCCAAAGGCCAAAAGCAGGAAAGGAAGGAGAGGGAAGGCATTTGGAAAGGAGGATGGATGGGAAAGGAAGGATGGGGTAGGGAAGGGAGGAAAGGGGGATATTGAGGTACGGTCAGAGGAAGAAGATCAAAAGGTTCAGTTCCTCAGACCAAAAGCCTCTTCCCCATGTCAAGGAGCCCCCACTTGAAGAAGCTTATGAGTTGTAGCTGTCAGCTTAGATCAATATCAGGAATTAACTGCATTTCTAGGATGGTGTCTTTAAGCTGTTGCTGTCCTTAAGACTTATTACAATATAAAATGGAAGGAATAATGTAGGGTTTGACCAGCAACCTGTTGAGTGTGGGGTATGTTAAATGTCATGATAGTATGAAATATCAGTTTGTATGTGCCATGACAGTTAACAGTGATTAATTACCAAAGGGATGTAGAAGACTGGTAATGACTAATGATGTTTAGAATGATGAGCTCTGGGAGTCCCTGATAAACCTTGACCTAAAATGTCAGTCAGATGACATTTTACAAAGTGGCATATGTTTTATGTAAAAAAAAAAATCTTATTTTTATTCTTTTGACCTAGAGTTACCAATATTCATGTTAGATACAGAAATAACTTTTTTTGTTGTTGCAGAGCCTGGAAATGAGGGCAGCGTGGAAACCTGGGTTAACTTGCAGGGAGGAGCTACCCTCTTCCTGCGAGCAAGCCATGGTGGTCAGGCACCCAGCTCATCTAGAAGACGCTCTCTCTTCCGCTCCTGGTCTCTACACAAGCTTGGCAAGATTTGAAATCAGTTCCCCCCACTCAGTGTAAGGGCCTACCATTGCATCATTGAATTTCTTGACAAGTTCTAAAGGCCTGTTATCAGCTGCCAGTGTCACAATGTGAAGAACATTTGGCACAGTCTCACAGTTTATCAGCACTGTCTGAGAGCCTGATGATAGATTCATGGTGACCTTAGTCATCTGAATCCCTCCATCCCAGTCAGTATAATCTAGGAGGCTGTGAGTGTGGTATGAGGAGTTACCAGTGCCATCTCTTGTTTATAAAGCAGGATCTGTGAAGTTTTTATCATAATGGTGCTGTTTAAGGGCCTAGTGTATTGGTATAACCAAGGAACTGCCTGCACTTCCTGAGGACAGTCAGGATCTGGTAGCAATTTATGACAGGAAACTGATCATTGTTTATCAGATCCACTTAAATGAATGAACAGTGTTATACACCACTCAAAGAAATGTACAGTTACATAGTGACAGGCATAACATCCTGGTTGACTAAGATTGATTTACAGAGATTACATTCCTTGTACAGTATTACTGGTTCAGTACGAAGCTGTTACAATAATTATGTAGTGCAAATATATGCATATCTATATGGGTTGTGCTGTTATAAAAAGTTGTATCATGGGAGTTAATTCAGACATTAAAGGAATATCATTATAAACTAGGCCTTACCAACTATTGAAGTTATTCAGACGTGTTTAAATCTAAGGTACCCCTCCACTACAAGTTTTCAAGCCTTCCAAAAGGGTTTTCTCTCACATACACAAAGTTGCAACTTCCCCCATTTTCAAGATAAAAAAACCAGCTAATTTCATAATGCTTTCATCCAAAAAGTAGCCATCAAAAATGTGGAAACCTATCTCCTATGCTAAAGTAAAAATACATACATTGTATGTAACCATATTTGTAAAAAATTATATCAGCATTTAAGTGAGCTGATCTCTCGGTGGTTTAGGCCAGCACTTTTTTTTTGGCCCTTAAGAATAACTGACTTTAGACAAGTACAGATACAAAATAATTTCTCTACATTCCATAGGTACCTTTAGCTCAGTAATGTGTTAAGAATTCTTGAGCATTTACTGTAACTATCCTGGATCTAAAATTAAATTCCAGTTCAAGTTAGTAACTACACAATAATAGTTAATTAGGTTTAAGACCTATTGACTACCTGAGAGTCATGAAGGCTACAATCAGTCTACTGGTAGATACTTAACACAAAGAATGCTTGAATTCCTAAGATCTGGTTTACTTAAGCAAAATCTGTGTACAGTATAATACAATGAGAGATACATACCTCTTATTACATATTCCTTTGACAAAATCCAATGTTGCGTGAATGTTGCGCAAGTGTTAAAACTAGTCAGAACCAAGGACTGTAACTGGGAATAAAATACAAAACCAAAGCATTTCCTAGTCATTAATTACTTCAAAAGTGTAAGAAATAATTTTAAAAATGAAAATGTTCTAGAGCATTTTATTGAAAATATTAGTGCTAAGCAGTTGGGGTTATCAACAAAATTCATGTTAGCAGTTTTTGCATAGAAACAGGCACATTTTATTGTTGCAGTCTAGCAGTATGGTAAAAAACAGGCTTTCCTCGCTAGCTAAGAATTAGTAATGTATAAACCTTCTGTTAAATGGTGGCCTTATCCAACAAATATTTAAATTTAAATAAACAAATTAAGACTAGTGATTAGCATGACAGCATATTAGCAGATAGCGCACTGAGCAGTGACTCACAGCGCTTGCCTTCCACCAATGACCCTCACCATTTTATATTTCAGGTAAACATGTTAAACTTTTTGTCACAATAGTACAGACATGTAGCTTTATAAGAATTTTCACAGTTATTTATATACAGTACTTCAAATAAGTTTTAATTATATGCATTGGAACAACAGCTATGATGCACTGTTGTTTGTAACTGTTATACTGACTGAAGAGTCAGCTTGGCCTCATGGCTAAAATGTACACATAGTAACTAGATGATCCTATGTGTGTATGTAGGTACTCTTGTACAGGTGTCTCTCACTTTGTGATGCATTCCAAGCTGATGGCACATAAAATCAACCCAATATGACATGTAAAACAGGAACAGAAAGTATGAATTTGTCACACACACATACATCACTGCCCTATGTGAAAGTGAAATTAATTTGCTTGTAAAACTGAGAAAAATGCAAAATTCAATCATAATCTCTATACATACTACAATTAACAGCCAGAATTGTGGAAAAATCCACATTTCTTGACATTTTTACAAAAAAAAAAAAAATGGAGCATACCACATAGGCACCAAATGACTATATAGCAAATAGGAATGAATTTGGTCCAAAAATAACTTTAGAAAAATAAAATTTGGTATTTAATCACCGTCTGTTTGTTACTCCTTTTCTTCCTCCACCACTGTCAACCATCCAGGCTGTCTTTTGTTTGGATTAATGTATACAGGTTATGAACCATATATCTCTCCCATTCTCCACCCCTAGCCCAGATTTCACTTAACATATTATTATTATTATAATCAAAAAGAAGCGCTAAGCCACAAGGGCTATACAGCATTCACTTAACATAATTATATAGTCGAGTGCCTATTTTCTTTTGACATAAAACTGTTAAATTGAAAACTAGCCATAGAATTCCATTCAGAATATGCTCATTGGATTTCCTACTCCCAAATCATACTTCTTTCTTAATTACTTCTTATAAATGTCAATACACACTAGTTTAGGGTGATTTAAATTGGTATCATTATAAAATCTAAGTGATGTTGGGCTTGAGTGACTGCATAATAGCAAATTTATACTGCATATAACAAATTACTGGTAGAAATGAGGTCACTACATAAATGCAAATTCATATAAAATGAAAACCACATAAAGCAAGGGAACCTGTACTTGTATACAAAATGTGAATAATAAATATTCCTGCTGGTCTTGTTTGTTTACGTATGTCACCTTGTGTTTTGACTTAAGATGACAAAGTTTATTGTTAAAGTAACATATTCTAACTTCATTTACCTAACTGAGGTAGCTGACAGCTTTCTTCCAAAATGCAAAAAGTATCAGTCATATTCTCAAACTGTTGTAAGTTACTGTTAAAGAAATTCAGATTTAGAGAGAATCTACAATGTGTACTCTTTATTCGTAGAGTGCTAAACCTATATGGGTCATTCAGTGCATCCTCCATTGGGTAAGAGCAAGGCAGATGTGCTGCTTACTTGTACTCAGCTAGCTGACAGCCTACTGTATAAGATAATTGCTCAGAATTTTATTTCTCCCAAGTGCATTGGAGATTATGTTGGCCAGCAGATATACCAAAAGGTGAGTAGAACCAGTAAAAAATTTCATTTGATATAAAAATAAAAATTTAATTTACTATACAGCAATTACTTTACGACTGCAATAACCAGTGATAAGAAAACTGTTTTACTGTACTATATTTGGAAGTGAAGTATTGAAGATAAAATAATTGTTAAATAATCGTTGAAAAAAATTTAACAAATTACATATAGATTATTATGACACAGGAAAACATCTCTAATTATAAGAGGCATCTATGGAAAAGCAGGATCTGAGTACTGAACAATCGAGTTTGAGCCCTTTCCAAGAACTCTTCTCATTTGTAAATTAGGCCCCTAATGTGTGTGTAGATATCCATGCATAAAATGTACATGGGCAGCACATAGTCACAACTGAAGAAGACAGTGATGAGGATCATAATTTTGTCACCATGTAAAGGAGTCTGCCCATAGACAGAAGCCATGGTCATAAACAAGCAGTGGTCATGTTTTTCCAAGAGGGAAGCCTGATTAACACTAGATATGTACACCTCTCTGAGAACTGAACTCTATTTTCATCACAGTCAATTTCTGCCCTGGGGTTCATGGAGGTGGGTGCAACTGAAGAGAACCAGAATACAAGATAGGATCTTCAGTCAATATAGGAAGTGAAAGAGCCACGGAAACATAGGTATTTTAGAAAGAAATAAAACCACAAAAAAAAATTACAAACTCACAGCACTCTAGCCAGCAAGATTGGCTTTTCTAGGACCCACTCCCTACCCTGCCAGGCACACATCCCACAATGCACTGGGATCATGGTACAGTATATTCAGCTTATGCCTACAGATGCTTTGTGGTAGCAATAATGAGCTCATCTTGGTCAAGTAGATCACAAGACACAAAACCCTCTTTGACATCCCCCATATCAGACTCAACCTGCGTAAAAACTCACTGCCATTAACCCTTTCACTGTCAGTGTCACAGTATGGCTTACAAACCAGTATTGGCGGCGTATTAATACGCCAAAATTCTAGTGGCTTCAAATCTAGTGGGAGAGAATGAGTCTGCATGGTCAATGTGCCCAGTATAAAAAAAACCTGCAGCATGCAGTGCATAACAAGAAAAAAAAAAACTCCGACCGTGTTTTTGGTTTGAAATGCCGACTTTGAGGTGTATTTTCGTATGGTATTTATGGTTGTATTTTCGTTTTCTTGATCTCATTTGATAGAATGGAAGATATATTACAGAAATAGAGATGATTCTGATTGGTTTCATGATAAAAAGAAATTGAGCTCAAATAAGCGGAACTGTTCGATTTTTGCCAATGTTCAAGAGTAAACAAATGACATCACCATCCAATACATGTCCAACTGGCCAGTCTAATACACAGTCATGAATGGGGTGACTTTTTTATACAATTATTACAATAATGCATAACAATAAATCTATTTTTGTGTTTGTGAATAAAAATTTAAAATGGAAAGCAAGAGTAATATAAGAGGGGCCTAGAGACATGACTAATGAACAGAGAAAATGTTATTTTAGTGCCAAGAATGTCTGCCTTGTTTATTCTGGACCCTATTTTGAAAATGGCATCTTTTGAAATTTGTGTGAAATTGGCCTAATTTGTGTGAAATTGGCAATTTCTTGTACTCATTCAATAGAACAAATGGAGTTCTAGTGAAATAGCTATGAGTTTGGTTGACTGGGACAATGGAATTGGCCGAAAATAGGGCTCAAAGTGGGCAAAATCGCCGATGCGTACATATCGCCAAAACCGCTACTTCATGAGAGCATAATTCCGTAAGATTTCCATCAAATTTCATACTTTTGGTGTCATTACAATTGGGAAAAGATTCTCTGTCATTTCATTAGAAAAAATTATTTTTTTTTTAAATTTCCGACTGAGAGCAAGTTTGTGAGCAGGGGTCTCTACAGTGAAAGGGTTAAAGGCCCTAAGATCTGAAATTCCCTGCCTAAAGCATTGAAAGACCCCCCTTCCCTATGTGCCAGTCAATTCAGAGCTATTATAATTGAAACAGCAATACACTATGTCAAATAAAATGGGCTTTCATCCAATTCTGTCCCTGTTCTTCTTTCAGCCTTCCTTCAATTCCCATATAAAATTGCTAACACATTTTGTGTCCCATTATATTTTGATTGTAACTAAGTAAAGAGAAACCCTGGATTTCGGCCGTAATCCATTCCAGAAGGTCGGCCTAAATCTGAAAAGGCCAAAAACTGAAGTAATATTTCCCATAAGAAATACATGTAATGTAAATACAGTGGACCCCCGCTTAACGATCACCTCCAAATGCGACAAATTATGTAAGTGTATTTATGTAAGTGCGTTTGTACGTGCATGTTTGGGGGTCTGAAATGGACTAATCTACTTCACAATATTCCTTATGGGAACAAATTCGGTCAGTACTGGTACCTGAACATACTTCTGGAATGAAAAAAGATCGTTAATCAGGGGTCCACTGTACAATTAATCCATTCCAAACACCCAAAAATATTAACAAAAAAAACATTTTTTAAAGATTAACCCCTTGACTGTCACAACCTCAAATCCTGAGGTGTCTCCTGGTGTCGCAAAATTACCCCCCCCCCCCCCTCCAAAAAAAAAAAAAAAAAATTATTTTTACTTATGAAATGATAGAGAATCTTTTCCAGATTGTAATGACACCAAAAGAACAAAATCTGATGGAAAACTGACAGAACTACGCTCTTGCAAAGTTAGTGACCTCAGCGATATTTATGAATCGGCGATTTCGCCCACTTTGAGCCATATTTTCGGCTCATTCCATTGTTCCAGTCAACCAAACTCATAGCTATTTCTTTAGAACTCCATTTTTTCTATCGATTCAGTACAAGAAACTGCCCATTTACCGATTTCAACTACCCAACAACATGGTCAGAAATTTGCAATTTGGCCAATTTCATGAAAATTAAAAAATATGACAACTTCAAAATAGGGTCCAGAATGAACAGTGCAGACCTTCCTGGCTCTAAAATAACATTTTCTTTGTTTAGAAGTCATGTCTCCAGACCCCTCTGATATTACTCTTGCTTTCTATTTTGAATTTTTATTCAAACAAAATATAAAAGATTTACTGTTATGCAGACTACTGCAATATTGTAATAATTGTATAAATAATGTCAACCCATTCATGACTGCATATCAGAATAGTTACTTGGACATTTATTGGAAAATGACATCATTTGTTCACTTTTGAACATCGGCAAAAATCAAACATTTCCCTTACTTTGAGTTACATTCCAAGGTTTTTTCATAGTAAAACCAATCAAAATCACCTCTATTTCTATAATACGTTTTCCATTCTATCAAATGAGACCAAGAAAACAAGAATACAACCACAAATACTATACAAAAATAGACCACAAAATCGGCATTTTAATTAAAAAAAAAACGGTCAGTTTTTTTTCTCATTATGCACTGCGTGCTGCAGGATTTTTTTTTATGTGGTGCACACTGACCACACAGACCCATTCTCTCACAAGTGCGCCTACCAGCTTTCTCCTGCTTGATTTGAAGCCGCTAGAATTTATGAATACATAACATCATAAATGGTGGCTCGTAAGATGTATATATACGACCAAAACATTCAAAGGGTTAACTATAGTTTCACATGCAGAAAACAATGAGAAATAAATATAAAGCACAAATTTTAATGATAACTGAACATTACATACCTTTAGTGAAGACTTGTTGGCGTACTGAAGGTGGCAAGGTGGGGAGAGGGAGTTGGAGGGGTATTGTTTGGAAGGGGAATCCCTCCTCTATAAGGACTTCAGTTATCAAAGCCCTCTTTGAGGTTACTTCCTTTCTTTTTTTTTACTGGAAGTAGGACTAGCTTGAGAGTCACTTCACCCCTGTTGCACAAAAAACTGTCCAAAGAGGTTTGTTTCTGGCATCTCTTTAAGATTTGCCTGAAGTGGGACAAGGTTTTGTCACAGAATTCTATTGTGATTCTCACTTTCTTTACCAAAGGGCTGGCACTAGGAACTTTCTTTGGGCCCATGGTGGCTTATTTGGCAGTCACACTCAATAAACCACAATAAACAATGGAAATGTTTGGAGTGTTGCTCACTCACCCAGACACACAGCCAGACTGACTCACGAGCACGGTGGAGTGGAGAGCGGGCGGACGCATCCAACACGGTCGATTTCCGAGTTGCCGGCTAAAATCCAGGACAGAATTTTGACCAAAAGAGTGGCCGAAATCTAATTTGGCAGATATCCGCATCGGCCGATATCCACATCAGCCAATATCCGGAGTTCCACTGTAACTTTACATATCTTCACCATCTCTGTTTAATCATTCCTCAGAACTGAAGATCATTGAATCAATCTGAAATTATTGCATAATCATTACTTTTCTTCTATGCCTACACTTTTATCAAATACAGTGGACCCCAGCCTTACGAACGCATCGCGTTACGTTAAATCCGCCAAATGAAGCATTTGAACGCAAAAATTTTGCCTCGCCTCACAATAAAAAAAACTCGCCTTACGTGATTCGTCCGGGATGCGTCCCATGTGTGGCCTCAGCGCCAATGTTTACAAGCCAGCCAGTGAGGTCGCATCTACGCATACATTCGGTGCATTTCACATTATCCCAGTGTTTTTAGTGCTTGTAACTGCAAAATAAGTCACCATGAACCCCAAGAAAGCTTCTAGTGCCATCCCTGTGGTAAAAAGGGCGAGAATTAGTATGGAATTGAAAAAAGAGATTAAGGAAATGTGTGCAAAGTGGGTTGAACTGCAAAACTTTACAGATGAAAATCACCCTGACACAGCTACTGCAAGCCATGTTGGCAACCTGTACAATGACAGTGTTGTGGCCCATTTTAGGAAAGTCTTAAAGGAACGAGAGGTACAGAGCTCTATGGACAGATTTGTTGTGCGACAGAGGCCCAG